CTTACATAATGTCTCTCAGACAAAACATAATGAGTGAGCAAGAAAGAACCCAAAGCATTGTTACCTGAGCTTTTCAGTCACTCCACCAGATTTAAGAAAAAGATATAACTCACAAACATACAAAGACAGAAGTGTTAGTCTGTCAGGTGTGAAACACCTTCAAACTGCTGCTGCTTTGCTGTTGGCTTCCCCCATGTAATAGAAATTTGTTGTTCTGACGTGCCCTGATATCCTGCACTGTATGCTGAAAGCAGGGAGTGCATCAGATTCCTCTTTCAGTTTTGTTTCACGGTCAGTACACCGTGCAGCTGCACCTAGTTCTAAAACAGCTGGGCGAAGACAGCACAGTGAGAAGTTAACAGTCTGCTACATCCTTTGCATCCCTTTAAAAGAGGTTTTCTTTGCCTGATCTGACCCCTTAAGTCAGATTGCAACCACACTCTCCTGCTACCTGCTGCTATCACACATGCAAACATGCAACCAAAGCAAACAAAACAACTCATACATTAATAGGCTGGTTCTCAGGAGGATATGTGGGGCAAACCATTAATATTTGTACATTTACAGTCAGATGACATACCAACACAGTGTTGCTCCATCACACTCACAGAGAAAAACAGGAGGGAAGATTAGGAAGAGAGACTAGTGACATAACAGAAATACAGCTTTCTTTAATTTTTTTTTATATATTTTGAAAAACAACATGTTTTGCTGTCATTTCTGCTCAATGGGATTAAACTGATGCAGTTCAAATAAACGGAGTTTCAGATCCCACTGATTCTTCTGAGACAGTATGTTGAGCTTAATCAAACAGAGCCTGAATCTATTTATTCTATTTATTGTTTTTTGGTAGAGTGGTTTTATTCTGGCCTTGCAAGAGAGTGGCAAATTGTCGAGGGTGAACGCTACCACTCGCCCTATGGTAGCTCTGACACTGATACTAATTTTGATGTTTACCACTGTGAGAATCCCCTCTTTTTTAACATGTTTCTCCAAAACCTGTATATGCCTTTAATGACAATGGTGCCTTTCCAGATGTGCAAGCTGCCAATTCCATGGGCACTAATGCACCTCCATACTGTCAGGCTTTTGAACTGAGTGCTGATAACAAGGCAGATGGTCCTTGTCTTCTTTATTCAGAAGGACAAATTATCTATTTCAGATTTGACTCATCTGACAGCAGAACATTTTTTCCACTTTGCCTCACAGCCCATTACAAGTGGGATGACATGTTTACACATGGCTCCTTCTTTTAATGAGCATGCTTTAACCTGCATTTGAGGACTGTATGCTGTGAAGCACATATGTGTTAATGAGATTTGAAAACCATTGTATGTGTTGTTTTTAAACATTTTGTTGTTTAAATTTTTGCAGAAATCAAGGTTGTGAAAGACAGTGATAAACTGTGAAACAGCAGAAACCTTATCAGGCATTCTGGGAAAATGCCTATGAACCTAATGACAATATGTGACAGAAATGCTTACTGATTATCAATGATGCACTTACTCAAGGCCAAATTTGCCCAAAAGTTTGAACTGCCAGGAAACTCAATAGTAGACAAACCAAGCAAAAACACCCAGGCAGAAAATGACGACTGCAAAAGAAGTCCCTAACTCATGTGTCCCCTCCCAGGCCAAATTATAGAAAGACAAATCCTTTGAAAAATTGCAAGACATAAAAAGTGGGTAAAAGTCACAGTGAAAAGTGCAATGCTTGACTCTTTTCCATTGCACATCTGGATAATCCTATCGAGCAGTAAATGTAAAATATTAGGTTATTTCTGAATTATAGATTGAGGTCAATACAGCCTGTTGTCAGATGATCATAGTGTAAATCCAGCTTCCTGCTTGCTTAAAGACAGCACTTACTAAAGGCAGGTTGCCATCGTTTTTTAAAATCAGTTACATACTTAGATGTGCTCATAGATGTTTAGTGTGCTCAATATGCAAGATTTTGAATTACAACATATTCTAGCAGTCTTTACATAGCCCATCATCAGTCATCAGCTACAGACTACAAACTAACTAATTTTGTTAGTGTTCAACGTAAACATCCAAGGTAGGAGGTAATGGTTAGCAATGTTTTATAATTAGCAGTAATTAATATTGATGAAATGTTTTTTATTTGAATTTAGAAGCAGAACATTGGAGGTTATCCAAGTCTTTAAGACTTCCCTGCAGTTTAACTAATTACTGTGTGTCATCTAACTCTATGGATGGCAAAAGCTTGGGATCATCTACATGGAAATGAAAAAGTATAATATGCTGTAGAATGATATAGTTTCCTGGGGCAGGATTGTATGTTAAACAGCTAAAATAAACCATTAACGTTATAAGTTGAGAGGTTAAAACTGTCAGTCAATCACCACTACAACTGGCAAAAAAAAACTGTCCAAATAAGATCTAAAACACCAAACTCAACCATTATTACAAATTATGAGGACTTAAAACAAGAAACACTAAGTATAACATATAAATAAAGAATGATATTAAATGTACATGAGGGACAGCGTGTAAAATGTTAGCTTGAGTATACAAATCAGATGCTTAAAATGTTTATTCCAGTAGAATACTTTTGCAGCAAGACAAATCTTGCATAGACATCACACACATGGGCAGAAACGAACCATTCAGTAAAGCCCACGCTGTTTTAAAATGACTGACACAATCTCCAAAACAACCTCATATCTAACGCACTTCCAGTATTGGAGACTCCACTCATAAGACAATGCAAATGCTCATAAATAGTAAATACTGGGCTAAGATTTTCTTCATGTAGTGATGCAAGTCCTTATCCATTTTAGGGTGTGGTGGTGCTGGAGCATATTCCAGCTGGGTCAGAAGTACACCCTGTATTTGCAGCATAATGACTTGTGTTTAGGGTTGCCAACCGTCCCTTAAAATACGGAATCGTCCCGTAACAAAAGTACACGTCCCGTATTGAGCTAATAAGGGACGCACTTTGTCCCGTAATACAGTGAGAATCAAAAGTAGTCTATAAATGTTAATGGAATTAACGCTTTGTTTGAAAACATAATTCCCAGCCCCTCTCCTGCTTTGTGACCAATGAGCTGACAGCACACTTATGACAATTCGAGTATGACAATTCAGATTACCGCTCATCTCATTGGTCAGGAAAGGTCGCTTGCGGAGAAAATACCGGAAGACAACAGATGACCACAACAAGAAGCATGGCCAACAGGGGAACAAACGCCGTCACTGCGGTGCAAGTCTCGGACGACAGTACACCTAAAGCTGGGCAGACACTGTGCGATTTTTTCAGTCACGTTATTCAGCTCCTGCTCAAACTGCACAATTGACTCACAGGGGTTAGACGTTGGTAGGTCACGATGCAGGGTCTCACACTACACGGCCCGATGCTCTGATGCGACCTGAGTGCTCACACTGTGCCTCCATAACATGAAGGTTATAACAGAAATTCTGTCGCTCGCTCTCTCTGTCTCTCACTCACACAGACACACCACCACCATCAACTTTGCTAAATTGCTAATGAAAAACATTGATCAGGCAGCTGTGATTGAGCAGCAGTGTAAATCCAACTATTTTCAGGTTGTTGTGGTCGTGATAATTTTGTGAGGCCACATCGAAAAGGCTCGGATGAGCTTTTCAAAGTTCTACAAGTTGTGCCTCCATCGCTTGTGTCCAGATCACACGCTGCACAGCCGTGCTGCTCAGTCTTTTTCACGGCGTTTACGTGTTTGCGCGCGAGCAGTGTGAGCGGCTCACGAGCGATTGATGATCGGGAGCTGGTCGTGAGGTGTTAATCACTTCTCGTTACCCCACGTATACTACACGACGCACGATGAAGGCCAAAATCGGTCCGATCACTCAAAAATCGGCTCAAAATGGGCCTAAAACCGCACAGTGTGACCCCAGCATTAGAGCAGCAATGTTTGTTTGCTCAGAGAAAGGGAAAAATGGGAAAAGGAAAACACCTGGCTGGAAAAAGTTAATATGGGCATGTGCAGTGAATATCAGCGCTATGTGGCCAGAAGTGTGATAATATAATTTATTTTGTGTAATAAACGACTGCAAGGATAGATGATTACAACAAATAGATGACTAATACATAGATGAATAATGATGATGAGTTAAGATGCATAATCATAGGAACAAGCGGGTTTTCAAACGGGAGCAGCTGATTAGCATTAGAAAAGCTGAAATAATACCTCAGCTGAAGCCAATTGTACTAAATGCACTAAATGTGCACTGTTACAAGAATGCTTTTCTTTCTATTGTTTTCTATTATTTTAAGTTAAGCAGGACAGAGTTCTTTTAAAGAAAGATTTACTTATATTCTCAAAAGTTAAGCATGACAGGCTTCTGTTTAAGAAAGAGACCTGTTTTATGTGTTAATGTTGTCATTTTGAGCTAAAAATAAATGGCTAAATGATCATTTGTTTCACATGTGTTCATATCACAAAGAATACACATCTACTTAAATCAAATTCAAGTCAAAGGGTTAAATTTCACACACAAAAAAAGAGCTAGAAAATTCACCACACTGGGAAGGGTGAAGACAACTGGGTCGCCCGGCCCTGGCCACGAGGTGTCCCTTATTTATTTTTCAGGGAGTTGGCAACCCTATCTGACACGTAAAGTTCAGTATTATTTAGCAACATGTTTCAGTTCACCACTAGGGTCAAGCACCCTAGTGGTGAATAGTGGCCCTCCGGAGAAGACCTAAAAACTTCTTAAAAACTCCAACAGGGGTGATACCTTATTTTTAACCTAATCATAGTTTAATATTAACGTTTCATTTGACTTTATTGATCTTTATCATGTTTAAAAAGGACCGCAAACGCCAAACTCCTGAGCCAAGTTATCAGTGGCACTGTGATAAAGTTAGCCTTACGTTTAACAACAAAACAGACGCGGAACACATTTTTCATAGTGAGTCTAAAGGCTGTAACAGACCAACAAACACCGACTGTGAGTAAAAGAATGAAACTCGGGTTGTTTATGGCATTTGTTTCCTACCTTTCGTTATGGCTTTGCTTTCCTGTTGCTTTGATGAGCGGAAACTTCCTCTGCTGTCTGTTCCGGTTTGAAAGACGAGCCTTCAAAATAAAAGCACGACCTCTGAAAGACGACGTTTCTATGACCCCCCGCCCTCCACACACACACACACACACACACACACACACACACACACACACCGTAGACAGTAAAGATTAAAAATAGACATCGAAGAAAAGCCGAATAAAAAAAGAATGTTGAAAAGAGAGAACTAACCAAAACAATAATATTAGCACAATATGAGCTAATGAAAGAAATGAAATAAAAAGACAGGACCAAGGTGGCTGTGCAACGGGAAATCCAAATATTTTGTTAGGAATTGTATAGTTTTTGGTGAAACCGCGTGCCTACTGATCATGTCAACGATGAACTGCGATAAACAAAGCCACCTCCTGCACCTATTACTTTTCACTTGTCCAAACCAGGGTCATGAGCGGGGACTACGTCCATGAACCTTTTCTCTGATCGTTCTCTTTTCCTCCTGCCTGGCAGCGCCATTCTCCACATTTTCTTTTCATCATATCCACTATTTCTCCTCCGCACATGTCCAAAGCTTTGGATGCTTGACCTAAGGTATTTAAATTCACGTACAAAGCAGAAGTACCCATTTTTAATAATAATAATATCTAAAGTGATTTAATAATATGGCATAATTTATTGTTGGATTAATATTACGAAATCTGTAATAAATTATTAAAACAAATTAAAATAAATTGCATGGTAAATATACTAAATTAGAAGTAGCCAAAGCAACAATTACTTAATCATCTTGATTATCTAATGAAAACCTTTACACCAGGGGGCAGCCTTGTACCAGTGTTGAGACTTTTGCAACTGTTCTTTTAGCAAGTCTTTTTTTCCAGCCCCGCCCCAATCCTTCCTTACAGGTGCTTGTGTATTCACACTCTTTTGATGTGTCTACATGTTTTACAGTTATTTAAATCACAAATATTTAAAATAAGTACAATTTAAGTATGTGTATTATTTTTATTTGTGTAAATATTCCCTATAATATAAAATGTAGCTTGCTTGTAATTCTTGAAATTAATAGGCTCAGATAAGTATAATATGTTTGTCTGTCTGTCTGAAGGACACAGAGGGAGTTTGGTTGTGTTCCAACCTAAGCTACCATAAATGTTTTTACATACTCCCCAAAACTTTGACTAGACTAGACTAAAACTTTGTTTGATTGTGTTGCTAAAATAATTTTTTAAATAGCTCAAACAAAGAAAGTCCTTCTGTTCCCCAATGGCTACACCCTAAAAAATGCTGGGTTAAAATAACCCAATTTGTAACCCAGTGCTGGGTCAAGAGCCAACGCTGGGTTGTTTCAACTTAACAGGGTTGGGTTATTGGTTTGACCCAGCACACTAGGTTAGGAAAACTATCCAAAAAATTGGGTTATATTGACCAGTGTTTACAGTTGAGGTTAATAAAAAATTGGATCGAAACTCAGAACCCATCTCATACTTTCTTTGTTCTATATACAGTGATTTCTAAACAGTTTGTCAAACAGAGCAACCTCACCCTCATTTCAGATAATAATTGTAACAGATGATATCAAGCATTTTAAGTAAAAATAACTTTCTTCATCACAAGATAGCTGGTGTTATCTGTCAAAAGACCTTTAATGAGTAGGTAAAGTTCTAGAATAAACAGAATAAACAAATAAATTGCACTGCAATTGCATATCAAAAATAACTCCATGATTTTCAAACTCTTAGAATTCACTTTTTACTTACCACATTTTATTTCATAGTAGTGGAGAAGTCCAGTAATGTCTGATCTTGTCACAGTCTAGTTGAAAATGGCAGTTTGTGAAGAATAATGTGGCTTCTTCTGAGGCTTATCTTCAATCCAAACAATCGGGTAAAAGTTTGACCCAATATTTGATCAAAGCTGCCCAACCTATGACCCAACTGAATTAGTCAAGCTGTGGAGTGAATTGAAGAACCTGGCACATTACCAACCCAACTTCTGAGTGATGACTTTTGAACCAATATTTGGTCACAATAACCCAACTTACAGTGGCTTGCAAAAGTATTTGGCCCCCTTGAACTTTTCCACATTTTGTCACATTACAGCCACAAACATGAATCAATTTTATTGGAATTCTACGTGAAAGACCAACACAAAGTGGTGCACACGTGAGAAGTGGAACCAAAATCATACATGATTCCAAATATCTTTTACAAATAAATAACTGAAAAGTGCGGTGTGTGTAATTATTCAGGATCCAAGAAGAAGACCATCATTTCATGTGGCTACCACTTTGGCGCCAGCTGTGGTCTCAAGGCTGGAGCCGAACAAAAACACCCTGATAACAGACTGTGCATAGACTGTTCTTCTTATCCTACTCAAGGCCACCTGGGTTGGCTGGAGGACTGTTTACTTAGCCTGGCAGGGTGAAGGACACTGTCTCAGCTGAACTCTGGACACACGCACACAATCATACACTGATACACACTCATACCCTCTCGCTTTCCAAACGCCTTCAATGCTTGTTCCCTCCTGGTGCAGATGGTCAACTGGACCAGCGCAGACATGCTGCAGGACCCGATGCGCTGTCCACACCGGCTCTCTCTTACCCTTACCCGCCCCTGTTGCTTGTCTTGTGTTTCTATGGTGTATTGATAGTCATGTGCTTTTACGCTGGGGTGGTTTTTTTTCTGTTATCAAACTGTTCTCCCGTTAGGAGCTCAGTCTGAGTGGAGTTTTTTTTTCTCCTCCTCTCACCTCATGTTATGTATTTCGTTGTTTTTTCCTATCAGCCTACCTCTCTGACATGTCTTCCCAATGTGATGTTTGTGTAACGGTCAGAAGGTTCCTTTGTAAGTGTGCATGCGCCATTAGCGCGCTGCCTGCTGTAACCCATAATTTTCTTCGGGATTAATAAAGTATTCTCATTCTGATTCAGCAGGGACAGGGAAGCTGGTCAGAGTTGATGGGAAGATGCATGGAGCCAAGTGCAATCTGTCATGGTCCTGGGTCATTGACCCAGCGTTTTGTGTTTCATTTTGGTTTCATCTTGTGTTTGGTGTTTATTCTGAATTTGTATTAGTTCTTTGGGTTTGGTTGTCGTGTTTATTATCCCTACCTGTGTCTTCCCTCTGTGCTCCGTTCGGGTCCCTGCATTTGGTGTTGTTAAACAGTCTGTGTGTTTCCGGATTTACTTTGTAGGTCTGCTTCTTGTTATGTCCATTAGTGTCAGCTGTGTCCACCCCTGTGTGTCATCTCCTCATTACCTGATGTGTATTTATAGTGTATGTTGGCCTGTGCTCCTCGTCGTGTCGTCTGTGTTCATCCTCTATGTTTCTCAGTGAATCCTCCGTGTAACTCCGTCTTTATCTGTGTCTCTCCGCGTCTCTCTGCCCAGCATTTCATCAGCTGCCATCTCTATACATCTCCCACCGTTCTTATGTTTTCAGGCTTGTTTGTTAGTTTTTCCCAGTTTAGGTTTATGTTCAGTTCTGCCCTCACCTTTGTTATTTTCACTGTAAATAAATCGCCACTCGCATCTCCACTGCCATCTGCATCTTGGATCCTCATTCACTCCACCACACGACTGCGACCCCAGCCGTGACACAATCTTGGAAGAAAACCTCTTGGAGTCTGCAAAAGACTTGAGACTGGGGCGGAGGTTCACCTTCCAGCAGGACAACAACCCTAAACATAAAGTCAGGGCAACAATTGAATGGTTTAAAACAAAACATATCCATGTGTTAGAATGACCCAGTCAAAGTCCAGATCTAAATCCAATCGAGAATCTGTGGCAAGATCTGAAAACTGCTGTTCACAAACGCTGTCCATCTAATCTGACCGAGCTGGAGCTGTTTTGCAAAGAAGAATGGTCAAGGATTTCAGTCTCTAGATGTGCAAAGCTGGTAGAGACAGACCCTAAAATGACTGGCAGCTGTAATTGCAGCAAAAGGTGGTTCTACAAAGTATTGACTCAGGGGCAATGTTCCCTCTAATTTGTCATGTGTCTGAGCGAACACACAAACTCCCTGAGCGGTCCCTTGGACCACTGTGAGCAACAGCAGACATGTACACTGTGGTCACGCCAGCATTGAATCCATCCATGTTACATGGTTTATTAAAATAATCAAATTACAGCATTTACATTTATGTTAGACTACTTTTAATTAACTGCTTTAGCCCACTTACAATGAAAATTAAAAAAAAATATTGTTCATGACCTGTGTAGTATGTTAGCTCTGTTGGAAGCAAAAATAACTTGAACTCCAATTTTGAAAACACAACTTTTTTTTTCTATAAAGCTCTGACTTGTATTATGAGTCTGTGGTCTGGGAGAGAGTCCTGTAACTCTCTGTCTGCAAAATACAGTATATAATGACCAATGTTGGGCAATTAATTATATAGTTACTTCTTCAAAAAGTAACTGAGTTATGAAAACAACAAAGTTTTTTGCAGCTGTTTACCTCAAAATGCAGCCAAGGCGTTTTTTAAATAAACATTTCAAACTATTTACAGAACAATCAGCTGTTCTGCATCACATCTGATGCCACACAAATTATTTGTGCCACTCCAAAAAATCATTTCTGTCCACTATGAGACAAAGGAGAACAACAGCCTGATACCTGCAGGCCTGACAACAGGAGGTGTATCACTCCTGTAACACCTGTAACACTCAGCACTTGCCTCATTGTTCTGACACACACAAAACTATTGACTACACTACACACTAACTACACAAGATTTGCGCTAAACGTTGCAAATCTCTCACATCTCAAAACACTGCCATCACTCCTAAAACTTCCCGCTTCCTAAACAACTCTAAATGCCATGTTGCCATATCATTTTTTGATTGGTTGACATGGTACATTTTTCCACCATTAGGAAAGGGTGGGGTTTTTTTGTTTTTGTTTTTGCTCACAGGCTCAGAGTGCTTTCGAGCGCTTTCCTTATAAAACGCAGTTTTTACCGTTGCGTCCCGCAGTAAAGATAAACAACGATAGTATTCAGGAAGAAAACCAAACATTGCATATATATATATATATATATATTTGATCATAACTCTTGTTTTACGTGGCATAATTACGCACACCCCACTTTTCAGTTATTTATTTGTAAAAAATGTTTGGAATCATGTATGATTTTGGTTCCACTTCTCACGTGTGCACCACTTTGTGTTGGTCTTTCACGTGGAATTCCAATAAAATTGATTCATGTTTGTGGCTGTAATGTGAAAAAATGTGGAAAAGTTCAAGGGGGTCAAATACTTTTGAAAGCCACTCGATGTAATAGAAATTTCCATACATAAAATGAACAGCGTCTTTTTCTCATGATTATAAAATAGATTTCTTGTAGCTACTTTTTCCTTGTCTTGTGTCATATCATAACTGCGTGACATGTTTATTAAATATCTTTGGGCTAAAAAACAAAAGAAAAGAAATCTAGGGCAAACAAAACAAAGTCATGTATATAGAGACAATCATAGAGTAGCGATGACAGATGGACTGCATGTATTGTCTAAGTTGGGTGTGTGCATGTGTGACGTCAAATGTACATATGCGGGAAGAACAAAAGGGGCTTTTGGTTTTCAGACAAAAATATTTAATCATATGAGGTTAAAGTTATTCTGTTCTTTTCTTCTGTTCTAAATGCTGTGGATATGAAATTCCTTTGGTAGTTCACATGGTGCAACAGCAGCCATCACACAAACCCCAATGAAAGGGAATAGATTGAATTTATGCTTCCTGTATTGTGCTTAAGCAAACTTTTATTACTTTTGGTGGGCTTCAGGTATGCTATGTGTACAATTTAAATTTAAATGCAACTTTTTCACCATTCATTACACAGACACTCTGAGTTTTCGTTATCGTCTGGATTCTCAATTTTTTATTTGTTTCATGGTTGTCAAGCAATCAAGACTATCCCTTGAACATCGGGTGTTCTGGAAATAAGTAAAAAGCAGTTAATTTGGGAAAACAAAGCAATTTCTTAAGAAGTAAAATAATTTTGCTGAGCTGTTTTAATAAAGTAGAGAAAAAGTGGATTTCTGCATCACCAATGGTGATGTAAATAAAACAAAAAGCAGCTCAAAAGCAGTAATGCTGAATATAAAGAAGAGAAAAAATAGTTGTTCAAAGCAACCATTTTCACATGGGGGACAGAAACGTCAGTTTCATGACTTATAAATTTTAAATTTACATACAAAACATTGGCACGGCTTCCCATGTCTCCAAGTAAATGGACTTTGGTTAGAGACCTGAAATACTGTCGTGGTGAACACAAAAAACTTACATGTGTTGAGTTTCCCTCTGTGTGTGTGTACAACACTGTAGTTTTTAATACTGAGAGCAGTGTGTCAGGATTTTTAAGATGAATCATTATCAATTTCAAACTCAAACTCAAATATCTTATTTTAATGCTTTTACTTTACAATATAAAACAACTTGAGGTGACTTGTTGTTTACAACTTATTGTAAATCGGGGCCCATATAAATAAAACTTTATTGAACTGATTTGTTTATCAAAGTTTTTGTAATTACAAAAGGAAAACGTTTTCCTCTCGTTGGGCATTCTGAAGTAAAAGGTCATTACTGACAAACATTGCTCTTGCATAAGATGGAGGGGACATTTCAAGTAGGGCATACTGTAATAACCAGAAAACTCACACTGACACCTCTAACCAACCACTGCTGAAAGAGTTTACAAAAATAAAATATTAAAATAAAAAAAAATAAAAAAACGGAGACCAAAGATAATGTCTGAAGTTCCTGGCAACCGGATTAGCCCTGCCTTCACAGTACATTATTGTCAGACAGACAACCATGAAACTTTTCTCGTACTACAACATGCCCCAGCCTACTTTTGCCTAATGACTTTCTTTTGTGCAGAGACTTTATCACATTCATCATGTCGCTCTCTGCACTGGTGCTGCTGCTGCTGCTCGTCTGTGTCCAGGCTAATTTTTATGGTATAGTGGTGAACTACTACCCAAGTGGCAATAATTCAACAGGAGCTTCCACTGTAAGTACACTTTCTTAAAAAATAAAGTAAATTTACTTTGTGAGTTTTAAAATTATTTAGGTAAACATGTCTTCACTGTAAATCTGCAGGGCATTCTTTATTACAAGTTGGGCTACAGCCTCTGCTTGTACAGTGTGCCCTACTACATCAACGGTCAGCCACTTGTGCTACAAAAGGTCGATGAGCCGATAAGTGGAGAGTGGTGCCAAACTGAAGGAGTCATCTCTCAGTATTTTTCCAGCAACTCTATGTTTTCAATTCCGTGAGTGCAGCCATACATAATTACATATGCATAAATATAGTCTTTGTTGTTGATTTGTCACTGAGGGGGAATGAAATTTAATACCACAACTTCTGAGAAGTCATTCATTTCTATTGCAGGGCCTCTGGCATAGACTGGATCTTTGGCATCAAAAATGGCATTGTATCATTTAAAATTCAGGCTCTGGTGGAACTGAGGATCCGCTCTGACATTGGCAAAGCCAACACATCACCACAGACCACTATCATACCAGCTATCAGGTCAGCCCTGTTTGTGGCTCCATTTCTTTTTTAGTAATTATACAAACATACATACATTCATACAATTTTATGTGTCACTTCTGGTAAATTCATTGCCTTTCAGACACGGAAAGTTTCTGTGTAGAGATGGATAAGGATAGAGAAGTCTTAAAGGGAAAAATTAACCTTTGGTCCTCCTTCATTAATGCAATTTTGAAGCTCTTGAACCATAAAACCTGAACAGTGTCCAGGCTGTGGGTGTACTGAGTAGTTTTCAAACATGAACATATAAAAATGGTGTCAGATATTTCACAGAAATGAATGAATGAATTTGATTATTTTATATTTTTTATTCATTTATTTCTATTTTAACTTTCTTTCAGAGTTCCATCAAACTGTCCAAGAAATTTGAGCCTGTTGATGTTTGATCCTGATGGAGACATAGTGAAATGCAGAAATGGAGATGCATCACTCTCAGAGTGTAGTCCCTGCACACCACCGTCTGTCCTCAGCCTTTCACCAGTAAGTAACAGCTATTACTCTTTTTGTCACACGGGACATGTTGGCATAAACATGAATCCTCGTGTACCAATCTATACTAAATCTGATTGTAATGAATTTTTTAAACTATTTTGTAATAAGGTCGCTGCCATCAGGTCTAATATTTCTCCATCATCCTCTCAGTATCACATTTGCACTTTGCTTACTTCTGATGCCTGGTCCTCTTTTGCTCCTGTTACCTTAGAGGACATTAGTGCTCTGCTTGGTCATATGAAACTGACTTTAAACCACACTGACGCACTTCCTCCATCAGTTTTTTTTAGTGTGTTTGACTCTATTGGCACCTGTATTCAGGAAATAATTCATTCTTCTCTTTATACCTGCTCAGTTCCCAACTTTTTTTAAGCAAGCTATTGTTAAACCAGTATTAAAGTTTAGGTCCATCTCTTCCAGACAGTTACAGGCCAATATCATATTATTTGTGTCAAAGAAAAATCGGTTGCAGAACAACTTAACAACCTTTTGGAGAAAACAATGTTCTAGACATTTTTCCAGTCTGGTTTCCGCAAATTGTACTCCACTGAAACGCTTCTTACTTGAAGTGTCTAGTGACATTTTAATGGCAGCAGACACTGGAGAGTACACCGTTCTGGTTATATTGGATCTAACCTCTGCTTTTGATACTGTTGATCACAGTGTCATGATAAATAGGCTTAAGGATTTGTTCGGGATTACTGGTGTTGTTTTAAAATGCTTTATGCCGTATCTATCTGATCTTTTACTGTCTTTATGAATCAAGTGTTGTCCGAAACATCAGCTTTGCCTTCTGTGGTACCTCAAGGATCTGTTTTAGGTCCGATCCTCTTTTTGCTTTATATATTCCCTCTAGGCAAAATTATCAGATGTTACAATAATATTTCTTATCATCTCTATGCAGATGACATTCAGTTATACACTTCTTTCAAAGCTTCTGAGTTATATAAATTGGCTTGTTTAGATAATTGTCAGGAATCAAACAATGGTTAAACAACAATTTCCTCCAGTTAAATACAGATAAAATAGAAACTTTGATTGTTGCTCCTGATCTTATGATTTCAGAAATTAAGCAGGATATCAGTTTTTTAGGCTCTTCCGTTCAATCAAGTTTCGGGCAAGTCTTGGACACCCAAATCAAGAGACTTGGGTCTCATATTTGGTTGTTCAATGTCTCTTGAGAAAAACTTCAAACAAACTAATTTGAAACTGTTTTTATCATCTAAGAAACATTTCTAAACTCAGCCTACTGGTGTTAAAGGCAGAACTTGAGATGATTATTCATGCTTTTATTTCTTCTTGATTGGATTATTGTAATGGTCTTTTTACTTGTTTCAACAAATCAGCTTTGGTTCGCCTTTAGACTATACAGAATGCTGCGGCAAGACTTTTAATTGGCACAAACAAGAGGTCACACATTATTCAATTTTTTGCTTCTCTTCTTTGGCTACCAGTAAATGTAAAAAAATTAGTTGTAACTTTGTGAAAAGTTCTAAATAATAAATTTTTACTTACTTACTTGCAATGATGCTTGATCATAGCATCATTTCATATCATATCTGGCAAAGTTGGTATAAAAAACAAATCAAAACCCCTGCTTTTTGTTAATTTAGATAAGTGTAAACTCTATGTGAGGTGTCTTCATGGCCCAATTTTTGTCTTCTTGCAGTCCTCTTGTACTCTGTCATTCAGCCCCACAAACAGCAGTGATGAAGGTCCGTATGCGGTACAGCTGATGATAGAGGACTTTCCCAGACAGAACATAACGTTGACTCAAACCAACGGGACACAAACAATAATAACAACCAACGATGCTATCAGCAAAATGCCAGTTCAGTTTGTCGTGAGAGGTACAAATAATTTCTCCTGGCTCCTGCTTAATGGCCCTGTTATTTTGGCCTTTTTTTCTTTTCACCCTGAAGCTAACATTACTTTATCCTTACTGCAGAAAATCCAGAATTTTTTAAGATTTAAAAAGCTTGTCTTTATGGCTGCTTATGAACTTGGAAAAAGCTTTCTCTTGCCTACCTGTAGATGAGAAAAACAATCCTGGTGGACCAGTTAGAGCAGGGATAGGGAACGGTAGTCCTCGAGAGCTGGTGTCCTGCAGGTTTTAGATCTCACCCTGGGTCACCACACCTGAATCAAATGATTAGTTCATTACCAGGCCTCTGGAGAACTTCAACACATGTTGAGGAGCTAATTTAGCCATCTAAATCAGCTATGCTGGATCAAGGACACATCTAAAACCTGCAGGACACCGGCACTTGAGGCCTGGAGTTCCCTACCCCTGAGTTAGAGTTTCTATCCTTAAAAAATGTCTTTATTATTGTCATCACTGCTTTGTGTGTTGCTTCAGTGGATCCTGCAGTGCCATCGTGCACAGAGGGACTCTTTCTACCCATGTTCCTGCCTCCAACCCCAGCCCACAGAACCCAGCTCTACAACTACGTCAATCAAACTCTGGCTATCAGCATCAAGGCACAGACACTTAACTCCACGTAAGTAGATCTCTAAATATAGAATTAAAGGCTTTATTTGTTAAATTACCAATGATTAACACATCCTGCAGCACTGACTGTTTCTAAAATTAAGATGTAGCTTTAATGCACAAATCAAACCTGTTTTTCATTTAATCAGATCATGAATCTTATCTTCTGAGTTGTGTAACTTTAACACTTCTAACTGCGCTTCTACAGACAGGTTTGATAAGCCAGCAACCCAACCGGTTTTATACTGATGTTAGGATGTACTAGCACTAGGTTAAGCTAAGACAATTAAAGAGAAACAAGAATAAAATAAATAGCTTTTTAGCCAAAATTGCTTGATTTTTACAGTAAATAAAATCTAAAATAATTATTTCAAAAATTATATAAAAGTCTGATATCCGGTCAAAATTTCACTCTAATAGTTGAAGCATTTACAGCATGTCACAGGTAAACACTTTTTTCTTATTGTAGATCATAAACTTTTTAAAAACTCACTTTTTTCTTGTTTTTTTTTTTTAAAGCATCTCTGAGCTGCTGTTCAGCGCACCGCACACAGTAACAGAAAGTCAAACAGGCCCAGGACAGTTCACACTGACGTGGACGCCATCTAACTCAGTAGCTGGACAAAGCCACCCCATTTGTTTTGTTGTCCAAGCTGTTTTAGGGTCAGTATCCTGTTTCATGAATACGATCCTACACAAAAGTATATTGAAACTTTCATTAAAACAAAGTGAAATGGAGCACATGTAATTTGCACATACATTTGAGTCTACTTCTGTTCCAATGAAACTATTTAACTTTGAGGACTGACTGGCTTAGTTCATTGCCTGCACTTTTTAATTTTGCTTTTATATTTACTCCGTCCAACCTTCATTCCTGTAAATCTTTCAGATGCAGGCATTTTAATTATCGTATCAAAACAAATGGAAGGCAGACTTAGAAAAGAAACCAAAATTCATTGAAGACAGTAGACATGGGTGTGTCAAATACCTTTGAGGAATTACTCCATAACAACAGAGACATACCTGAATGTGTGTGACAAGATCAACTTGATAGTTGAAAGAAGAGCAGAAACAGATAAAAACGGCAATGTTTTATAAAACAAGAACTGCCTCAGTAAGTAAAACAATGAGAAGAAAGAGAAAGAAGAGCAACACAGTGAGTCCAAACACAGTATACGGTCCAGCTGCAAACAAAGCTTTTTACTGTATTTGTGATAAGAACAGGAAGACTGGCCAAGTCAGTTTCCACATTTAAACCTGTAAATACTAAATGCAACATAGGTTAATGTGCCAACTTATAACTATAACTAACTGCAACTAACTATAATTTAATGCTAAAAGCCTAAGTTTTTTCAATCTGTCCAAATTAATAAGATACCAAGTCCACAGCAACATACAAGTCTCTCCTTGTAAAGGCATACACATGTTATCTTTCCTTTCATAGCTGATTCATTATTTGGTGCACACCATTTTGTTAGTGTCTGATAAGAAAAATACTTAAAGCTTTTGTCCTTTTGAGTATAAAATCATGACTGTTGAGTGTTGAAGGGTACTGAGCCCACATTTTACCTGCTGAAATCCTGCCTCACTGGAAGAGCATTTCTAACAAAGATAGTAACGTTTAATGGTTTGGAGACTTGATGTTGGGACTGCATTAAATAATTGTGCAACAAATAAGTTTGATTTTATTTTTTATACTTGCAGAGTTACATGTAAACTTACTGATGGTAATTTTTTTTAAAGCTATTCATAAGGCACTGCTTTTCATGTTCTTTGACGTCAATCCAAATCCATCAAACTGTACCAAACTGAAAAACATTTTTATTTAGATATGTAACTGTAAGATAAACTCTCTAAACATTAAAAAAATGTATATTAAAAATAATGTAAAATGCATTTTGATAAAGAATCTCTTGTACTGATTTATTTTCACAGGGCAGCCAAGTACCACTCTGAGCTTCGATGTGTCATTGCGACCGTTGGTGAGCAGTGTTTTAACGTCCAATACCAACAGCTACACAACTGATACAGTTCATGAGTAACCTCTGTTTCAACTTTTTACAGCATTGCCAACTACATCACCCAATACACCAGCGTGTGAGTATGAAGGCCTGGACTAAATCAAAGTTAGCCTGACTTATCAGATTTAGAGAATAAATAGAAAATAGTAGAAGAACAGAAACTAGTACTTGCATTAAAAATGAATCAAACCAAATGGAGAGTCCAAAATGAATTGTGCTGGATCATCTTAATTTCATTTTCATCTTTATCACAAAACCTCCACTAGAGGGTGGAGTGGTATGTTAAAATCTAGGGCTGGCCAGCTTAGTTAACAGTGTTGGTCAAGTTACCTGAAAATAGTAGTTAGTCACTAATTACTGATTACTTCTCCAAGAAAGTAATCCCATACTTTACTGATTCCTTATTTTCAAAAGTAAGTTACTTTATTAATTAGTTACTTTTAAAAAACATGATACACAACCTGAAAATGTAATAAAGCAATAGACATTTCAGCCCAATTCTATTTTTTCTGCATATAGAAAATCTGTTTTGTCTGTTTTTAAAACTTGTTTTATTACTTAAATTTTTTTTTAACTTTACACACATTGCATCAAGCAAAAATTAAGGAAGAAATTTGTTTAACATTTAAACCTATTTCCTGCATATTTCAGCATATAAAATAAAATATTTTTTTGTGTTTGCACTCTTTCAAATAGATGCAAGTAAAACACAGCAAAAAATAAATAAAATCAAAGCGGCACTAAGTCCTGTCGCTCTTAAATAACCTTTTTAACAGGAGTGGAGCAGGTGGAGATTTGCCCAGTGCCACAGCGGTCATGTCAATAGGGGGATCCGGGGGTTTCTCTGTGAATTCTACATTCTAGTGGCAGCGAACTAGGTGGTTGCTCAGATTTAAAGTTTAATTTTTTGCTTTAAAAGAAGCTTTTCTTCCCATGCGGGCTAATGTTTTTGTCACTTTTCACAGAATCAAACTCAAAGTAATGTCAGTATTTCCAAGCTTTAAACGCTGCATGGTCGTACTCTGTCCCGCACTCCATATTAACCATTGTTGACCTACACGCGTCTGTTCCTGACATGGACGTCACACGCTCGTGCATCATTGTCATTAGACACTCTCACAAACAAAATCACAGTTTAGTAACGCAGTAATGCAGTGTGTTTAAACAAGTAAACAGTGAATGTAACAGTAATTTAATTGCTTTTTTGAAATAGTAATCACTTACTTTACTCATTACCTGAAAATAATGTAATCAGATTACAGTAAAGCATTATTTTTAACGCACTGGCGACCATCTCTGTTAATTAACAAACTACATAAAAAAATAACAACCCAAACGTTCTTGTTGGTTTAGAGACTAACATGGTGTCTTTGTGTTTCTAGATGTTGCAGCTCTGAAAATGAAGTTGTCTTCTACAGTGGACTTGTCTCAAATCAATAGGGATCTCTTCTTAAATCAGGTTAGAATTTTTCTTATCCAGAGTTAAACTGACCCCTGTCCAAACTGACCTCCTGCAACACTAACGTTTTGGACATGTGGTGTATACTTGTATACAGCGAATAACAAATGTATTAGAACACATGTCATGAAAACCAGAAAACAAAAGTAGCTTAAAAGTCTGCAAAAGAAAACTTGCTTAAAATTCATATTGGTATTCATTAAGAAAATAACAATTTGTATTCACATTTTCAACTAAGTAAAGTAAAAGTAAAAATTTTATTTATATAGCACTTTTCAAGATAAAATCACAAAGTGCTTTACAGAGACAGAAAACAGACATTAAAATCTAAAACAAAACAAAATCAACCAAAAGCGAGTTTAAACAGATAGGTTTTTAACTGCTTTTTAAAAGACATGACTGAGTCCACAGATCTCAAACTCAAAGGGAGCGAGTTCCAGAGTCTGGGAGCCACTGATACAAACGCTCTGTCACCTTTTGTTTTTAACCATGTATGCGGGACAACCCCTGGTCACACGACCTCAGGGACCTGCTGGGGTGATAAGAAAGAAGAAGATCACTTAAGTAAGTTGGAGCTACACCGTGCAGGGCCCTATAAGTCATGATTATGATCTTATATTGGACCCTGAACTTGACAGGGAGCCAATGCAGCTGAATCAGCAGGGGAGTGGCATGGGAGTATTTGTGATGCTTTGTCAGAAGCCTAGCAGCAGCATTCTGAACACCCTGCAGTTGTTCCAGGGAGGCATTGCTTAAGCAAGTAAACAAGGAATTACAATAGTCTAAGCGAGATGAAACAAAAGCATCAATAATCATTTCCAATTCGGAACGTGACACAATGGGACTCAGCTTAGCGATATCATTCACGAATTTCAGCTGGCGCACTGGACTTCTCTGAGAAATCTCTGAGCATAATTATGCTGTGTGGCAAGAAATGTATTTTGAGTCATTTAAAAGTCTGCACTCATGACTCACGTTATGACATATTTCAACAAATATACATTTTCCTCAACATAAAAATATTAAAACTGTTTTGCAGATGACATCTCAGATCCACTTTTCAAAGAAAAACCACACTTGAGAGAGCGGCGATGTTTTCTCACTGCTCCTTCTTTCTCCCCAGATTAAACAGAAACTGCAGTCATACGGACTGCCAGATGACATCAGTCTGCGCCTCATAAGCAGTGTGCCACAGATTGGCGTAACTGCAGCATCCTCTAATTCTACAACATGAACCTGAAGTCCTGCATCTTCAGTCTTTCTGTACCAATTGGAAACATCTGTGTGGAAAGATAATACAAAATCTTACTTATCGCACATAATTTTGCATTCAACCTGTCTGTCATAAAAATTGGTGATAAAACATTATTTGAAGTAGTGTTAAATTTTTAAAGGAATCATTCAAGATTTGTAATGTGTGTAATATAGTTCTAGATAATTCTATTTCTTATACTCTCAGTGTATATATACATGCTTTTTTGGCGTCAGAAAGCGGTTCTTCCACATCTTAGCAATCAGTAGTTAGAAAAAAATCTAACAAACAAAACAGTACGATTTTTGAAAACTATTTTTTTTCTACAAAATAAGTCAAACATTTTTCTTGTTCTCTAATACGTACAGTGGCTTGCAAAAGTATTTGGCCCCCTTGAACTTTTCCACATTTTGTCACATTACAGCCACAAACATGAATCAATTTTTTTGGAATTCTACGTGAAAGACCAATACAAAGTGGTGTACACGTGAGAAGTGGAACCAAAATCATACATGATTCAGAACATTTTTTTACAAATAAATAACTGAAAGTGGGGTGTGCGCATATATATATCTATATATATATCTATATATATATCTATATATCTATATATATATAGATATATATATATGAATACCACTTTGAGCGCAAATTGGATCAAATCTTGGGAAGTGCACTGCGGTCGTGAGTTCTCAGAACCTGCTCTTTGAGCAGTTTGGATAACATCATAGAAAGCTCACGGCTCTCCAACGGGAGATTGAGAGACCAGTGTTGGACTGTTAGAACAGCTTTGAAATTCATATGAGTTGTTCGCACTAAAGTAAAAACCATCATCACTTCATGCGGAGACCCCTTCGGCGCCAGCTGCGGCCTCAAGGCTGGAGCTGAACAAAAACCCCTGATAACGACTGTGTTTAGACTGTTCCCCCCATTCCATGCAAGGCCACCTGGGTTGGCTGGAAGACTGTTTACGTAGCCTGGCAGGGCGAAGGACACTGTCCCAGCTGAACTCTGGACACACGCACACACACATACACTGATATGCACACACTGATCCCCCCTCGTCTTCGATGCTTGTGCCCTACCGGCGAAGATGGCAGTCAACTGGACCAGCGCAGGACCGGATGCGCTGTCTACACCGGCTCTCTCTTACCCTTACCCGCCCCTGTTGCTTGTCTTGTGTTTCTATGGTGTAATGATAGTCATGTGCTTTTTGTGCTGAGGTGTTTTTTCTGTTATCAAACTGTTCTCCCACTAGGAGCTCAGTCTGAGTGGAGGTTTTTTTCTCCTCCTCTTACCTCATGTTATGTATTTTCGTTGTTTTTTTTCCTATCAGCCTACCTTTCTGACATGTCTCCCCAATGTGATGTTTGTGTAAAGTTGGTCAGAAGGTCCCTTTGTAAGTGTGCATGAGCCATTAGCGTGCTGCCTCCTGTAAATCTAATTTCCTTCGGGATTAATAAAGTATTCTGATTCTGATTAAGTCAACAATAACTACATAAATTGCAAAAAAAAAAACATGCAATAAACAAGAAAAAAAATTAATTCGTTTTTGTTTTTTTTAAACATATTTCTAATTAGAGAAATTCAAGAGGTTTATCCCTCAGAACTATAAATACAAAAAAGTTGCACAAAATAGTTTCCAACAACAGGAAATTTATCCTGAGTGTCTTCATAGTGTTATTTTTAAGATACGCCATTTTTTTATATACTGCAGGAAAAACGAAAATAAATATTATAATGCAAATTTGCAAAAAGAAAAAAAAAACCAGCATGTGCATCAAGTATTTCCAGCAGTGCAATGCAGAAACTATTTAGAAAAGCATGAAGTCAAACATGACTTTTAAAAACACCAGTGTAGGCTTAGAAGGCCCCAAAGGTAAAAAAGTAAATTTTCCGCAAAAATGACGTCACTTCCGGTTTGGGGCAGGTAATGGCAGACATGCAATAGTTTGCGCTGACATCTATTCCAACCTAGGAAGTTTTATGAACAGCTGATGTGTTTCTAGAATATTATATTTTTGTTGCTGCAAGTGCTTTCCTCGCAGTTTTTGCAAAGCTTTATGTGGAAGGAAACTGTGACTTTGGACTGGCATAATATGTAAGAACAACTCCTCTGGTTTCACATGCAAAAAAATTATCTTACGTGGTTCCAGTTCTACGGGGATTTAAAAATAGTTGCGCAAAACAGAGCGTGCCCGCTCCAGAGGGTTTTAAAGGGTTAATGTGCGCAGTGAAGGATTCCAGTTCTTGTGTTTGGGTTTTGACCCAGGTGGTAAGGCAGAGGTCTAACCGTGTGCAAATCTGATTGTGGATGAAGTTGGTTTGGTCTTCCACAGAGCTGTCTTCTCTGATTTCATCTGGATCCATGGTAAGTTTCTGGACCTTGTCGGTGAAGTCGAAGGGGTTCTTGATGTGATGTGGGGGTATTCCCCACAAGAGGTGCTAGGATGGTAGCAAGGTGTTTCGAAATGTAAGTGGCTGAGTTTATGCTGCTTACAATGGGTCTGAGTGGCACCCCTTCTTTGTGGGTCTTAGGAAATCCGTACATGCAGGGTTTGGCATCCCCGGGATATAGGCGATGATATTTGGGGCGGTCAATGATTTTGTCCTTTTCAAGTTCTTGAAGGCAGGTGATAACTTTGTTTTTGTAGCTGCCTGTGGGGTCTCGCTTTAAGGCTTCGTAGGTATTGATATCACTGAAGAGAGAAGTGATCTTTGTGTGGTAATCCGTTGTGTTTAGAACCACGGTGCACCTTCCTTTGTCATCTGGTAATATGATGATGTTGTGGTCTTTGCTCAGGGAAGCGATGGCCTTCTATTCTTGTATGGTGAGGTTCGATGGAGGGCTTTGGCACTGGAGATGGTGGCTGAAACTTTCATCCTTGGCTCATGTGATTAGGTAGAGGATCATTAGGGGGTCCATTGGATAGCTCAGTAGGTAGAGTGGTGGGCCCATGATCGGAAGGTCGGGGGTTCGACTCCACTGAACGGCTACCCTGAGGTACCCCTGAGCAAGGTACCGTCCCTACACACCGCTCCCCGAGCGCTGCACTGGTGGCTGCCCACTGCTTCACTGAGTGAATGGGTTAAATGCAGAGGAACTATTTCCCTATGGGGACTAACACGCACACTTTACTTTTTTTACTTTACTTTACTCTCTCGGTGGGTTACTCCCACAGGGCTTAAATCTGGGACTCTAAACCATTTGACCCTAGAACTGAGGAAGCTTCTCGGATGACAGGTGAAACGTCTTCAGGCAACTTAAAGAAGTCCAGACACTTTTCTTTCCAAGCTCCTTAGCTCCTGCTCGGTCACTAATTACCGTTACTGTACTTTTATTACAAGTATTATACTGTAAAAGCAACAGGCTGCTCTCTGCTTCAGCTTCTGTGCAGAGCTGGTTATGAAATATCTTCAAACAACAGCAAGTTTTCAGTCTCTTGCCACATCTGTAAAGACAGCAAAACCAAATTAAAAAAAAGAAGCTTGTACTTCAGTAACTCCTCATTAATTAGTAACTAACAATCAAACTGTAGAACTGGAAAAAATGTAAGGGAACTTCAGATCCTGGGTGGGTGAGAGAGAGAAGTATCAGTTTTATTTTAGATTTGAAAAATAAAATTTATATTTCAGTTTGTGATGATTCAATTCCATTTCTATTCAATTCAATTTTATTTATATATGTTGCACATTTGGATTAAAATGAATTGAAACCAGTGTGGCTTTGTGAGTTCGCCTTTACTGCATCTGCAAATATATACATGGACATAGCACAACGTTACACACTTTTGCAGTCTCACACAACTCTTATAGGCGCACTGCCTTATGGGTAGTGGCTGGGCTTATTTACTCCCGCTAGAGCTGCTCATTTTAGGGGATACTCCCTCTTGTGGTGTAACGGAGGAATAACTACGCTTCCTGCACTATGTCATTTTTGGAGACTGGGGCACACATTATTTTACCACAATCAAAGAAAATACAGATTTGAACAATCAGACCATTTAACTAACTATAATATTGTAACTAAAGATTATGGGGGGTGTCCTGTTTTGTCCACAATGTCTTTCTTGTCCTTACATATAGCGCCAAATCACAACAACAGTTGGCTCAAGGCGATTTACAGGGCTTTGGAGCGTGATGTCACGGGGGTGGGTGTGGTGGATCATAAATTTGATTCGTTTTGAAGTTGTACATCTCTGTTCCTTACATTTCATGTCATGCCCTTATTAATGTTTTATTTGTTGCTTTGACTGTTTTCGAATAGAATATGCAGTGGGAATATAGAGGGAGATAAGTAGTGAAAGTTTTGCCTGGGTTGATTGTGCGTCGATCCATTGTTAATGCCTCAGGGCTCCAGTAGGTGGGTTCGCGCGCTTCCTCCTTCACTCAATACAGACGAGTGAGAGTGAGAGCTGCGTGTCTGCGCCGTTCTTTCACCTCTCCTCACTATTTCCCCTGTTTAAGGTAACTGTCATGTACAAATCTGTATAAATGTGTGTTACTGTTGATTATTACATTGTTATCATTGTTCATTGTAGCGGAAGATGTGAATTGCGGACTATTTTGCTGAGAAGTTCCAGTTAATCTCTGTTGCTGTGTATGCTAGTTTTCGCTATCACTCCGCCATATTGTGTGAAGATTTTTCTGTTACTATCTGTATAAGTTAACTACTGAAAGACATGCAGTACTTAAAGTATTATTTCATTGCTGTGGAAAGTTAGTGACTGTGTCAGCTAACATGTGCGAGTTAAAAAGATGTTTTTGTCTAATGCTACAGTTAATGTTATCTAAAGTATTCTCATCAGCTAATGCCGCGAACAATAGTGACTTAGTTTGGATACAGTTGTCCCGAGACTGAGTGCATCCATAAGAACATTGTTTTAGTTGTATTGCTTCTGAAACTCAATACAGACGAGTGTCTGTGCCGTTCTTTCACCTCTCCTCACTATTTCCCCTGTTTAAGGGCACAGCATGGGCGTGGAAAGGATTTTGGCCCGATCCACCATTTTGGGGGTCTAAACAAAGCACAAGCGAAAAAGGAGCGAAGGCACACACAACAGCCATGGTTCGTTCTTGCTGTGTGCTCCGCTGCAATGTTCGATCGCACGACTGGCAAGAGAATAAGCTTGAAAAGGGTTTATCTTTTCATTCTTTCCCAACCTGGAAGCAACATGAGCAGCTCGTGTATCGATGTTACCAAACGAAGGCGTCTAGCCTGGATAGGAGCTGTGAGACGAGCTGATATCAGTTCTCTTCCATCTCCAAATATCTGTTGG